AGCACTTTGGATAACAGAGAAAATAGAAAAAGGCCGTGAGGAAAGGCAGGGACACTTCCTTATGCGACCTGAAGGGGGCGCTGACACCACTGCCAAGTTCTGACCCCCGGGGCGGGTAGAACAGGGTGCGGGCTTGGCTGGTCCGCCTGGACTTCACAGCACAGACAGAAGGGGGTGTGCGCACGGGAACGAGATAAGAGGCCTGCTGGGGGGGGGGGGGGCATAAGGCGGGGCGGGTAGAACAGGGTGCGGGCTTGGCGGGTCCGCCTGGACTTCACAGCACAGACCGAAGGGGGTGTGTGCATGGGAACGAGATAAGAGGCCTGCTGGGGGCGGGTGCATATAAAGAAAATATGGGAGAACCTCTTCCTTCTTAGTCTCTAGGGCAGCGGTTCTCAACCTGTGGGTCCCGACCCCTTTGGGGGTCGAACGGCCCTTTCACAGGGGTCGCCTAAGACCATCGGAAAACACATCTATAATTACAGATTGTTTTTGTGATGAATTACTATGCTTTAATTACATTCAATTTGTCACCAGAAATTGGGGGTCACCACAGCATGAGGAACTGTATGAAAGGGTCTCGACGTGAGGAAGGTTGAGAACCGCTGCTCTAGGTCATGGAAAACACAGAAGAAAGAAATATCAAAGTGAAGCTGGTCATTGCTACTCTGTTACAGAAGCAGACAACGGAGGCCAGAAGACAAAAGAAACAAACAGACTTCATCCTTCTCTGCTCCCTAAATGAGACCGAAGTCGCTACCCCCAGGGACAGGCCGTCCTGCTACAAGGTGTGTGGCCACCGCTCCTGCCCATGCAGCTGGCGGACAGGGAGGTGAGGTCAGTCCCGCGGAAGCCGCGTGGGCCAGACGCGGTTTCTCCCCGTGAGGTAACTCGGAGGCAGCCGGAGGCAGACGTCCTCACAACTAAAGAGAAAAGGTGGGAAGTCTTTAACTGTAAGGAGTGCCCGGCTTAGTGGCTTCAAAAATCACCTCGCCCGGCCGGTGTGGCTCAATGACCCAGGAGGTCAGGGTTCGACTCCCGGTCAGGGTTTCGGGCTCCATCCCCAGTGGGGGGGGGTGCAGGAGGCAGCTGATCCGTGATTCTCATCATTGACGCTCTCTCACTCCCCCTCTTTTCCTCTCTGAAATCAATAAAAATATTGTTGAAAACATACACGCACACACAAACCTCACTTTAAAAAAATCACCCACCTTTTCACTGTGAGACTGAATACAGGTGAGCTATGAAGCCGTTTCGCCTGGAGATGAGACAGAGACACCGACCGCTGAGGGAGGCCACCGCTACGGCGTCCTTTTAATGTTGATGGAAACGGTTGCTACTAAAAGCAGTTGGTTTCCAGGATCTACAGCTCAGAAGAAACGCACCCCCAAAAGCTGACGGCTGCCAATGGCGGACCCGCTAATTCTCAAGGCGGCTACTCGTAGACATTGAGGATCGTTGTTCTCATTCCTGCTCAGTTTCAAAGTTCCAAACCCGTTCCCCCCCCCCCCCCCACGAGGCTTCTAATTTTTAGGGCAGGATCGTGCAGAATCAAGGCTTTTCATCGTATTAGGTGGCAGATAAAGAATCCATGAGGCCGGAATAATGTCCCGTTTTGTCCAGCTGTGAAGTTACCCTGAAACTTAATAGAAAGCAAGAAGCAACGGTGACTCAGGAAAACGGTGCGGCCCTGGCCAGTGTGGCTCCGCTGGTTGGGGCGTCATCCCGCGCACTGACGGGTCTCGGGTTCGATCCCAGTCAAGGGCACGTACCTGGGTTTGCAGGTTGGAGGCAACCAATTGACGTGTCTCTCTCACATTCAATGTTTCTCTCTCTCTCTCTCCCCCCTCCCCCGCCCTTCCACTCTCTCTAAAAAGCAATGGGAAAATATCCTTGGGTGAGGACTAAAAAAGAAAGTTGTCTCAAAATTCTTCATCTGATCATTTGTGTTTAAAAACCCATTTAGAGGTTTTCTTCCAGTTTCTTGGAATTATGAATCTCGCCTTTTTTGCAGGCTGTGACGACAGTCACTAGAGAACTTTTTTTTTACATTGTTTTTTAAAATTGTTTAAAGTATGACAATATCTCCTTTTACCCCGACTGCCCCCCCCCAGAACAACTTTTATACAAACTGTTTATAAATGAAAATGCTCCTACACACTTTGTACCGAAACCTGAAATGACGTTTACCGGCTTCGGCCGCTTGCTTTCTAGTCGCATATATTCTTGTCGCCCGTCTCGGTTGTGCTGTAGGGCAAAAACGGTGCGTGTAGAAGACAAAAATACTAAAAATCCACTCGGGGGACACACTCTTCACGTGAAATCAGAATTAATTTTGTTCATTTCACAAGGACGTTATCACTGATGCTCAGTTCTGTGATTTTAGGATTTTTATTAAGCAGACCCTCGCCCAGTCTCTACAAAGGACAACCAAGCCAGTCGTCTGAAAACCGCGCAGTTTCCGATCCAGAGGAGCTCTCGTCCCATGAACACGTGATGTGCGGTGGGGCTCACCTCAGTCGTATGGGGTGGGCGTCAGGTGACAAAAGATTTATTTTTTTTTCTCGACAATTTCTACGTGGACTTGTAGAATTTATTTGCCTCTGACTTGGTGGGAAGGCGGCGTGTCTGCCCGGCGTCCGGGCTCAGGCCCGTGGGAGGGACCTCAGGTGAGCTGGCCGACGGGACCCCCGTGGGAAGAGGTCCCAGATGATTCCCCGCGTCGTCGACAAGCAGGTGTCCGTTTCCCGGTCGGAGTCGCAGGCCTGCCTTCCCTGTCCCTCCCAGGGTGGCCACGGGCCCACGGGGAGTTCACGTCCACTTGGGAAAGGGGCTGGGAATAGATTCCCTTCGCCGCCGCCCGTGGCTGCGGGAAGACGGTTCTTGGGAAGCACATCGGGGTGAATGCTTTTAACGTCCCGATTAAACAAACCACCGATCGGACTGCCCTCACTCACGAGAAGGCCGTCCGGTGCGGGAGACGCTGCCCGCACACCGGGGGCCCCTTCTCTTCTCGCGTCCACGTTTCACGGTATCCTCCTCCTTTTTCACAAGCGGCTGCAACAGTGGCTGCTTCTAGGGACATTTACTTATGTTTTTAGCTGAAACGGTAACTATTCCTGTCATGACTGCTTTTATTTAAGACCAGCCTTGACTCACAATTGTACCACGTTATTTCATTCTAACTTTGGTGCGATGATGACTCCCCTCCCTCCCTCTCCATGCGACCTCAGGCCTCTGAGAGGCGGGGAAAACTACGAGTAACATCCCAGCATTTAGAGTCACATTGGAGCATTCAGGGTCGTTTTGTTACCACGGTGATGAGGTGCCATGGGAACGTAACTCTCCATCAAGCAGCCGATGGCAAAACCGGCTTCACTGTGTCATGTCACCACAGGGCCACCCTGTCCACAGCCACGCTCAGCGAGGGCTTGCTGTACGTCTGCGGTTCCTACGGGCTCAGCTCTGCTTTCTGTCCCCACGAAGGGAAATGATCGCCCTGTCGCCTAAGGAATCTTCCATCCAAAACCAGCCCAAAGGCTTGGCTATAAAGAGGAACCCGCATGAACCCCACAGAGAACAGCAAAGGGCCCCGCACGGGCTCCCCTGTGAGGAGGAACAAAACACTTTATATATTAATCTGGAAAAATACCGTAATTCATCCCCCCCCCCCCCCCCCACCCCGCCCAGCCCCGGCTCATATTTAAAAAATTTCTGTTTTCAATTTCTTTTCCCTGTGCTATCTACCCCGGAACAAAGATCCACACGGCATTTTCCGTACGTGCCGTGTAATCACACCCAGGACTCAGACTCTGCGGCCCTGTCTCCTTGGTAACGGGCACCGATGTGACAACAAGAGTCCCTCACGGTTCAGAGACCAGAGGTTCTGACCGCCACACTTTTCTCTGTTCTTCAGGAGCCGAGATGGAGTAACTGTCAACCGGAGGAAACTTCCAGTAACTTTATCACAAACGTCGGCGGGAAGAGGACAATCTTTCGAGGTAAAAATGGGGGAAGAGACTGAGGACAGACCAGTGGGAAAGGCAGCCCTGGATTCCATCTACCGGACGCGCTGCCCGCGTCCTGTGGGACCAGAGCCTTGGCAACATGTGTCAATCAATCGTTAGTGACAGGACATCAGGCGGGATATGCAAGTGTACGTCATCCTGCAGTGAAGACCTGGGGGCGGGGGGGGGGGGGGGAAAACCTTTTCCTCATCGGAGAATAAAAAACTGCCCATGCGCCTTGGCCACGTATCTCGCTGAGCCTCTTGGGAGCAGGAAGACAAAAATAACTCTCTCGTGTTTATCAAAGGCGTAACAAGTCCGTCACCCTTCTGTTGTCGCTGCTGAAAGAATCTGGTCAAGCTGCGAAGCGGAGAAAGATCTCTCGGGCCATCCGAACCGTTTCAGGGAGCAAAGTGTCTTCGTGGTTCTGCTCAACGACCGGCTGGCCCTGCAGAGGGAGCCACGGACGCCCACCCCGTCACGGCCCTTCCCCGGCTCCCGTGCCGGCGTCTGGTTACGTGACACGCCGTCTGCGCCCGAAGCCAGAGCCCTCCTTCCTCTGACGTTAGAAACCACCCGAGAAACCCTAGAGCGTCCGAGCTACAAAATAGATACATAGTTATTCTCGTTTCAAAGACATGTATTCCCAGTCCCCACGTTTCCGGAGGCGGCCTCACCGGGCGGCGCCCAGGTGCACCAGCGCCAGGACGGTGGTGTAGCTGTGGAACAGGTCCTCGTCCCGCACCTCGCTGCAGCGCCGCAGCACGAAGTTCCCCGTGACGATGCGGTCACACCCGATCTCGCCGTTGCCGAAGAAGCCGAACAGGGGCACGCCAGGGAAGGGGATGCCGGTGGCCTTGAGGCGCTGCATGGTGGCCTCCAAGGCCTTCTCGTCGCTGACGTCCTCGCTGAGCAGCACCTTGGTGCTCTGCACGAGCTGGCCGCTCACCGACAGCCCGACCACGCCGGTGCCATCGACATCCAGGGGGCACCTGGGGAACGCAAGCAGAACGGGCCGCTGAGCACGAGACGACACGGAACGTGCCACGTGTTCGCAGGAAAGATCAGCCCGGCCCGCGTGGCTCCGTGGTCGAGCGCCCACCTATGAACCGGGAGGTCACGGCTCGATCCCCAGTGTGGGGCGTGCAGGAGGCAGCCGGGAAGTGGTTCTCTCTCATCATTGATGTTTCTATCTCTCTCTTCCTCTCCCTTCCTCTCTGAAATCAATAAAAATATATTTTAAAAAAGTAGTATATATTTTTTAAAACAAGTACAAAAGGGCAAATGTACCTCCACCAAGATTCCTGAAACCACTCCAAGTGTGTAGGAGGGGACCCTGACCTTTCTCGCTGCCTTAACAGTCACCTTGCCCTTCTGTCCCTGCACACAGTGATCTCGTAAGTGCAGCTTTTTGGTATTATTTACATCTTTGGTGTCTTTTCCCCCCGAATATTCAGCTGTAAATATTCAATCATGGAGGGCGTTTTTAGCTTTATTCATTTATTTTTTAATATATTTTTTTATTGGTTTCAGAGAGGAAGGGGGAGAGAGAGAGAGAGAGAGAGACATCAATGATGAGAGAGAATCATGGATTGGCTGCCTCCTGCATGCCCCACACTGGGGATGTGCCCACAACCCAGGTACATGCCCTTGACCGGAATCGAACCCGGGACCCTTCAGTCTGCAGGCTGACGCTCTATCCACTGAGCCACACCAGTTAGGGCCATTTTTAGCTTTATGTTGCTGGGTCCATAAAGTTTCCTCTCCCTTCCTTGCTGTATTTTTTTTTTTCCCAAGAGGACCCCTGCTGTCTGCTGTGTTGTGTTCATACAGCGTGTCTGACAATAAAGCCGGAGGAAAAAATAAAATAAAAAACAAACCAAAAAGACCCGCGGTAACAAAACCCCTGGGACGCGCCCCGTCGCGCGGGGAAAGCGGCAGCGCGTCGGACGTACGTGTCAGAGGTCAGCGACACCAGGTTGTCCACCTGGCCCCCGGCCACCACGACGTTCGTGTCGCTGAAGGTGCGGACCACGCGCTGCAGGTAGCTGCTGGCCCCCACCTTGCAGCAGTTGTAGCCGAACACCAGCACCACACGGAGCTCGGGGTTGTCCAGGAGGCCTGTGGGGAGGAAGGGCACGTGAGAGACGCCTGCAGACGGGACGGCACCGTCACTCGAAGGAAACTCCGTTTTCCTCGCTTTGAGTGACATGCTCTCCGAGTTACTAGTATATACAAGTGGGTGCAGGCGGGGAAGCCGTCGAATCTCCCGACTGTTACAAACTATAACACGACTCAATATCTGGGCAACAATTTTCCCATTAAAAAATCTAAGACCCGCCTTAACCGGTGTGGCTCAGTGGATAGAGCGCCAGCCCGTGGACTGAAGGGTCCCGGGTTCGATTCCGGTCAAGGGTCACATGCCCGGGTTGTGGGCTTGATCCCCAGTGTGGGGCGTGCAGGAGGCAGCCGATCCATGATTCCATTGACGTTTCTCTCTCCCTTCCTCTCTGACATCAATAAAAATATATTAGAAAATAAAACAAAAACTAAATGGCGGAAGAGAAGGGGGACAGAGAAACATTGACGTGAGAGAGATGCATCGATTGGCTGCCTCCCAAACACCTCATCACAACCAGGGCTGGTAACTGAGTCTGCAGCCGAGGTAGGTGCCCTTGACAGAAATCGAACCCGAGACCCTTTAGTCCTCAGACCGAGGCTCTATCCATCGAGCCACACTGGCCAGGGCTCCTTTCCTCTTCTGATTAGCAAACCATTCACAGATGTTCCCCTTGGCAGCTGCACAATCTTTTACCCCCACGGGGTTCAGAGCCATTTCCAATAACGGAGGCTCATCTCCACGGGCGGCTGGCACGCACACGCCGGGGGTCACCACTGAATAGTTTCTATGCCAACAGCGATTTTTTTTTAACCAGTTAGTGCCGATCGATCGATTCATTTGCAGATGTAGATAAAAGGCCTCACTTCGCTGAGTAGCTAGCGTGTCGCTTCATACGCTTTCGCACAAGAGCTGAGATGCTAAGCCCGTTCTCTAACGCCTCGCAGTGGCCTCTTGGGACCCGCCTGCTTCGGCCACGCGTCCTCTGGTTGATGCGTCCTCGCTCGACAGTCTGCCTGAACCCACACTTTTTCCTTCTTTTCTAAACATATTTTTATTGATTTCAGACAGGAAGGGAGAGGGAGAGAGAGAAACATCCACGATGGGAGAGAATCATGGACCGGCTGCCTCCTGCACGCCCCACACTGGGGATCAAGCCCACAACCCGGGCATGTGACCTGACTGGGAATTGAACTGTGACCTCCTGGTTCCTAGGTCGACGCTCAACCACTGAGCCACACCGGCCGGGCTGAACTCACTTTTTCTAAAACTCAGAATGCACCGCACCAGCCTCGTTCATGGCTAGTCCGACTCGCCCTCACCTCCGGGGCCTGCGCTTCATTCGGACCCTCCCAGAATCCACCACCGAGACGGGGAACGGACCGTCACGACAGCGACTTACCGGCTTCAGTGAAGCGACGTCTTTCTAGCGATAAATTCTTTGGATTCTTGACAAAACGAAAGGGTTGTATTTTTATTCCTTCCACCTGAGGGAACAGCAGGGCAAACCCAGACTCTCCGATCTCTATCTCCTGAGGCCGACTGCTCCCGGGGCCCATGGGCGTCACTAGGAGAAAAGGGAAGCAGCTTCGTCCACAGAGTCAGTAAAAACGGGGGATTCATTCCGTCACCGCGAACGTGGCCAGCCCCACCCGGATCACCAGCCAGCAGGCTCACAGGCCACTACCCGAGAACGTGTTCAGCTCTGACATTCTTAGAGGTACAGAGTTGTGATGTCTGCGATTCCCTTGCAAATAAAAGCCTAATATGGTAAGTGTCCGACCATTTGTTCGACCACTTGCTATGACACACACTGACCACCAGGGGGCAGACGCTCCAACTGGTAGGTTAGCTTGCTGCTGGGGTCCAGGCAATTGGGACTGGGCGAGATGGGCCGGACACGCCCTGGAGCCCTCCCGAGGTCCCTTCCCAGCCTCTAAAATATCTCTTCTAATTAATTTCCTATCAATGTGCATGAATCCGTGCACCGGGCCTCTAGTGTGTTTATAAGCAGAGACAGAACAAGCTAGTGTTGCAACGTTCCTTTAGATGGTGAATCTAGATGGAGAGAGGGGGGCGGGGTGTATCGTACTATGATTCTTCCAACTCTTCTATAGGTTGGAAGTTTTTCTAAATGAAAAGTTGTGTCTGGGGTGGAGGGGAATGAATACTTCTTCACAGCAATTCCGCTTTAAAAAATGTATCCTGGGCTAAAATATTTGACCATTACGTAAAGTATACATACACACACACACACACACACACACACACTCACAGAAATACTTCTATGCTTTAAAAAATGTATCCTGGGCTAAAATATTTGATCATTACGTAAAGTATACACACACACACACACACACACACACACACACACTCACAGAAATACTTCTATCAGAGAGTTTTTAGTAACAAATAAGAAAGAAAAACTGAAATGCTCTACACTGGCATTAAGATTAAAAGTTACGTTATATATTAAAGATTGTTTTTCTTGAAATATTTTTTAAAAGAGGTTACATTATATAATGAAATGTAGCCATTCAGAATGACAGACATCCTAACTGACATGGACATATGTTTGTAAATACGTTGTGAATTTTAAAGGTGGGGGTTAGGGACAAAACTGTATCTCTTGCAAAATTCATATGAAGTCCTAACCTCCAGTGGGACTGTATACGGAGAGAAGGCCTTAAAGAGGAAAGTAAGGTTACAGGAGATCCTAAGGGTAAGGCCCTAATTAAAAACAGGACCAGTGCCAGGCCGGTGTGGCTCAGTGGTTGAGCGTCGACCTATGAACCAGGAGTTCACAGTTCGATTCCCAGTCAGGGCACAGGCCCGGGTTGCAGGCTCAATCCCCAGTGTGGGGCGTGCAGGAGGCAGCCGACTCATCGTTGACATTTCTCTCTCTCTCTCTCTCTCTCTCTCTCTAGCTTCCTCTCTGAAATCAATAAAAACATAGCTTAAAAAAAAAGAAGAAAGAGCCCTGGCCGGTTTGGCTCAGTGGATAGATCACTGGCCTGAGGACTGAAGGGTCCTGGGTTCAATTCTGGTCAGGGCACATGCCCGGGTTGAGGGCTCGATCCCCAGTGTGGGGCGTGCAGGAGGCAGCTGATCCATGATTCCCTCTCATCATTGATGTCTCTCTCACCCCCTCTCCCTCTGAAATCATAAAAATATATTAAAAAAAAAAAAAAAGAAGACAGACATGCAGTACAGCTGGTTTGTACACACAGCCCTGAGATGTGCCATATGAGCCACCTTCTATGTATCTTGGGCTTTAAGCTACAAGGAGCCCCCCCAGGACAGGACCCGCAGGAATTCGAGGTGGAGGCCGCCCAGGGGGCACCGCTCTCACCGACGATCCCCGGGGCCACGACCCCCAGGACCTGGCACTGTCTCGGGAACAGCTTCTCCAGGGCCACGGCGGTCTCCATCGTCGCTCTCTTCCTGGCTGCACAACAAGGAGCAAAGGTCACAGCTGATGGTGCCAAGGGAAAGAAAGGCCGACACCGGATAAAGCTGAAGCCATTTCACACCAGAACGCGGTGTAAGGAAGTCTCAAAACGTTGATAAAGCCCGGCCGGCGTGGCTCCATGGCTTAACGCCGACCTAGGAACCAGGAGGTCAGGGTTCGATTCCAGTCCACGGCACGTGCCCGGGTTGTGGGCTCGATCCCCCAGTGTGGGGCGAGCAGGAGGCAGCTGATCCGTGATTCTCTCTCATCACTGATGTTTCTCTCTCTCCCTCCCTCTCCCTTCCTCTCTGAAATCAATAAAAAGCCCTGGCTGGTGTTGCTCAGTGGATAGAGCATCGGCCTGTGGACTGTAGGGTCCCAGGTTCGATTCCGATCAAGGGCACATGCCTGGGTTGCGGGCTCGAACCCTAGTGGGGGGCATGCAGGAGGCAGCCAGTCAATGATTCTCTCTCATCATTGATGTTTCTGTCTCTCTCCCTCTCCTTTCCTCTCTGAAATCAATAAATATATTTTTTAAATATATATATATATTTAAAAAAAAACAATTAAAATGCTGATGAAAACACATGTGTTTCTGGGTGGGGCCTGTTTTATATTTTAACTCCAAACTGACGTTTAGCATCACCAGTTTGCCCACATACAGCTTTTGCTCCAAAGACGTTAAACTTTGCAGCAGTAGCAGCTGGATTGTAGATGTGCTACTGTACCTTTCTGCTCAGCACAGACGCTGCACACACAGGCCCCTGCATTCCAAGGGCAGGTAATCCACAGCCCAGGCTAACGGGGGCCTCAAGGTGCCCCTCCTGGGACACAGGCTACTGCCTCTCGCTGTGAGCGAAGGTCGCACTGCATCTATCCATACCTTTGGTAAATGGCTCCCCATCATCTAACACCATGAAAGGCTTGAATCATAAAATCTCCCTCCATAAAATCAACAAACAACAAGTGCTGGAGAGGATGCGGAGAAAAGGGAACCCTCGTGCACTGCTGGTGGGAATGCAGACTGGGGCAGCCACTGTGGAGAACAGTATGGAGTTTCCTCTAATGGTTAAAAACGGAACTCGCACTGGACCCAGTGATGCCACTTCTAGGAATATATCCCAAGAAACCAGAAACACCAATCAGAAAGGATATATGCACCCCTATGTTCACAGCAGCACAATTCACCATAGCTAAGATTTGGAAACAGCTTAAGTGCCCATCAGCAGATGAGTAGATTAAAAAACTGGTCCATCTACACAATGATATACTACGCTGCTGTAAAAAAGAAGGAATTCTTACCATTTGCAACAGCTTGGATGGAACTGGAGAGCATTGTGCTTAAGTGAAATAAGCCAGTTGTAGAAAGATAAATACCACAGGATCTCACTCATATGTGGGATATAATGATCAACAGAATTTGATGAACAAGAATAGATCCAGAGACAAATGGTATTGGGGCGGGGGGGGCGGTTAGAGAGCAACCAAAGGGCTTGTATGCATGCAAATTAGCAGAACCAATGGACACAGACACTGGGGCGGTGGGGGCTTGCCCGTGGC